CACCTGCCTGAAGGCTAGCTCTCATAGCTTTGGAGAGCACTATGCAAGCTGCTAAGGGAGAATGTCAGTCGATAGTCCAACACCAGCTTCACGACCAAATAACCACATCAGTGGCTGGCACAGCATACAACATTGGTGCAGTACTGGCACTTTTATCTTGGGAGCAATCAACAGCTACCTAATTGATCTAAAAGCCCACTCAATAGGAGGAAACTCATGTGTGGTACTGCAAACATAGCCAAATACACATGGCTGGAGAGGTCATAGATCATAGAGAGACTGTCACATTCCTAATGTAATTCCTTACTATGTGCAAAATATGTGTCCTTATATTTACAAATATCCCAGTCACTACTCATTAAAGAAGCTTCTTTTGCACCAGATGGAGTTTATTACAGAGTACCTTGTCCACAATTTTAAAGTTGCTCCCACAACATTCCTCACTCAAATTCACATTTTTCTTATCTTTTTGCTCTTTTTTCTCTCATTGTAGATCTGAACAAGAGCACTGAGTCACCTCAAAGGGGATAAAAGATAGTTTATTATTAAGCCAAATATGAATGATCATGGCCCAAATTATCCCCAGTTCCATGTTCCAACAATGCAGTAGTTCCAGGAAGCTTGTGTAATAACAGAACAAAGAAAGTCATAAATCCAAACCCTTTTCAAATACTGTTGTATAAGAGACTTTTCCTGGGAAGGCAACACACACATCTACTCACCCCAGAAAGGGAATTCACAACATACCTACATGACTGTACGAACAAACCTGACTGTTGACACTCAGCAAGAAAGGAGGGGTCAGGAGAGACAGTCACACTTCCCAACCAGTTGGCCTGAGTTGCACCAGGGGGAGGGACTAAGAGTACCTAAATGGGAGGGGGTAGTGAGGTGCCTTCATCTTGGGCAGCCACCTGGAGGTCATAGGGTCCTTGGGGCAATGTAGAGGGGATCCCACCATCACCACTCCCACCCACACGTCTGTAAGTAATACCCTCACCCACGGCTCTGTAAGTAAACCCAAATAAACTCACTGGCTTCCCAAACTGCAGTTCAGTGGAATTGGAGTTCAGTTTGTTATAAGGACAGAGGGAGGAGGGAGGCCAGACACTGTTTGCACATCACAGAAGGAATTTTAGCAACATTCCTCCAGGAGGGAATGTTTCAATTTGGAAGAAATTGCCATACAACAAACACCCATGTCAGGTAGAGCACTTACAGGAAAGCAGGAAAATCTCTCCTATAGGCTTAGGATGTTATCTGATGACATTCTTAGCTTTTTGGGTTGGTGAAAGACAGGTGTCTATTCATAAATTTCAAAGGATTTACCTAATAGTCACAAAGGTGTCACTTACAAAGGAGGACAATAAATGGCCAATAAGATAGAGGTGGCCCAAGAAAATTTGGCTCTGGCCCTGCAACATTTTAACTGCTATACATTATTGAAGTTCTAATCAGTTAATCAGCATGGTAGAAGGTTCAATATTAAGTGTGGCTTCTTTCCAGAAACTTTTGTTCACATACCATGCCACAGCCTAAGTGTTATGGTACCTTGAAATTTCCTCCACCAATGACATTAGTCTATCATTCTGGAATTCAGCCTCCCTCAAGTTCTCAGGACATGGGAAGAATGCAGCCAGATTCTTTTCCAGAATGTCACTTGAATGGCCCCTAGCCCAGCTTTTGATAGAGTTCTTGTTCCCCTCTGAAGCTGGGACTCCATACTGTTCATTTCTGTCAGCCTTTTGATCTTCCAAAGTCCCATCAGAATGGCCCATTAAGCTGTGCTTAAGCATGTGATGTTTTTTCCCTTGCCCAAAGTTCCGAACTCTTCCATATTCCTCCTGCAAACCAGTTCCAAAGGCCTAAGACCTATACGGTCAGGTTTATCACAGCAACACCCCTACTCTTGGTACCAATTTTCTGTATTAGTTACTTTTCTCATTGCTGAGACAAGTATCTGACCAAAAAAACAGGAAGGAAGGAAGGAAGGAAGGAAGGAAGGAAGGAAGGAAGGAAGGAAGGAAGGAAAGAAGAAAGAAAGAGCAGGAGGAAAGGAGA